AATATGCTCTACCAGGATCTTTGCAGTTGCACTGGCCGTGTTGTTTCGAGCTGGAAATGCTTCCACCCAGTTGGTGAAGTTATCACTGATCACCAGGCAATACTTGTTGCCATGGGCTGTTTGGGGCAGAGGGCCAATAAACTCCATCTGCAACTTGCTCCATGGCCCAGAAATCCTCTGGGGGCCCAGGAGGGCTTTGGCCATTTTGGCATCGGGATTGTTGGCTGCACATGTCAGGCAGTTGCTGACATACCTCTCCACGTCCTCTCTCATTTCAGGCCACCACCCAACACCCTGCAGCCTCACCATGGTCTTGTCTGTACCCCAATGCCCCTGCTCATGAGCCAGGGCCACCAGCTCTGTCCGGACAAGTTCAGGCACCACCCAGACTGGGTAATCCGCCCCCTCCCTCCGTGCCAGGACCAGCCCCGAGACGTCCTTCCACACCTTGCACCCTTTGTATTCCCTGCCCTGTGCTAACTCCCGAAGCCTGGGGTCTTGTGCCTGCAAGCCCACTAGATCCACACTCTCCCAGTGCCTGCTGGGCACCACAGACAGAGGGCCATTCTCTGCAATCTTGCTGGCCTTCCACATCAACCCTTCCTTTGCACCTTGCTTGGCTTTGGCATCTGCCTCCTTGTTCCACTTGGCTTCCTCTGTTCCCTTCTTGTGGGCCTTGACCTTAATGATCTGGGCTGGGCAGGCCCTCTGCTCCGCCAGCCTCGCAAGGTACAGCAGCTTTTTGGCATAGGTGACAGGCTTGCCATCGGCAGACTGCATGTCCCTCTCCTTCCAGAGCGGCAGCCACTGCAGCACCACACGCACCACCCAGCCCGAGTCTGAGAATATGGCCAGTGGCTGGTCTGCCGGCGTGTTCTCCAGGGCGGCCATCACGGCCACCAGCTCGGCAGCCTGGATGGAGTGCGGCAGGCACTTCCCCTTCACCACCTCCCCTGTGCCCCAGTTGACAGCGGCATAGCCCGTGTAGGGCACCCCTTCCTCGTAGTAGTTGGACCCATCTACGAACCACACAATGTAGCCTCTCTCCTTGGCCTCCTCCAGGCAGAGGTTGCTCTCAAACAGGGGTGCCCGCCGTGGCTTGGGCTCAGTAAGGGGGCCCACCGGCTCCTGCCCATCCCTCTCTCCACTGATTACCACCCTGTAGGCACCGGGCGAGGGGTCCCCAGGGATCTCCTTGTTGGTCAATGACAATGCCCAGTTGGCCATGGCCATCCTGGGGTACTGCAGGGGACCCTCATCCCTCTTCCCCAACAAGAGGTACGTCACCGGGGTGAGGGAGGTCCTCAGCAGCACTGGGGCTGACCCCACCACATATTCCCAGTGCTGCAGGGCCCAGGTCAGGGCTAAAACCTCCCTCTCATAGTCAGTGAACTGTTGCTCGACTGGAGTCAGGAGGCGCGAGGCGTGGGCAACAGGGAGCATGTCGGCACTGTGTTGCTGGCCCAAGGAGGCCTGAAGCCCCCTGCCCGTGCAGGCCAGCTGCAGAACATAGGGGCTGTCCCCCTGAGGATGTGCCAGCATGGGAGCTTGTGCCACACTCTCCTTTAAGGTCTTTACTGCCTGGTCCTGCTCTGGCCCCCATTCCCAGGGGGTGTTCTTTTTCAGGAGGTGGCAGAGGGGGGCTGCTTTTTCTGCGTAGCCTTTGATGAACTCACGGCATAGCCTCAGGAGAGACAGGAAGGACCTGAGGGTAGTGGCATCAGACGGTGCCAACATCTTCTGTATTAGCTCAACCCTCTGCTTTTCCAGTGAGCGCCCTTCCTCCCCAAGGGTCACCCCCATGAAGGAGACCTCCTTCCAGCACAGCTGGGCCTTTGTGGGGTTGATCCTGAAGCCCGTCTTCTGGACAGCCTTCAGCACCTCTGCCAGCACCTCCAGGTTCTTCTCCTTGGTCTGGGTGTGGATGAGGACATCACCAGCACAGGACAGCACGCTCTCCTGGTGGCTGAGCTGCTCCCACATCTTCGCCACGTGTGCATGGCAGATGGCAGGGGCATTGTGGAAACCCAGAGGGACTCTGGTGAAAGCAAACTGTCGTCCTTGAAGGGTGAAGGCAAATTTGTGCCAGGACTCAGGGTGCAGGGGGATGGCAAACGATGGGCTGGTCAGGTTGAGCACCGAGAACCACTTGGATCCCTGGGAGATGGCTGCCATGATGGCAGGGTACCTGACCACTGTGGAGGTCTGCAGTGGGGTGACACGGTTCAGGGCACTGAAGTCAACTGTCAGCTTCCACGTTTTCCCATCGGCTTTCTTCAGGGGCCACACCGGGGCGTTGCAGGTGCTCTGCTGCTCCACCAGCACACCCTGGTCCAGCAAGGTTTTGACTGTGTCCCACAAGCTGTACTCAGCCTCAGCTGGGTACCAGGGCTGAGGCTGAGGAGGAGGATCTGGTCCTTTGACTACCACGGCAGCATCAATCTGCCCACAGTCCAGCTTGCTCCTTGCCCAGACCTGGGGGAACTGCTCCGTGACCCGTTTCACTCGGGGCTCCCACTCAGGGTGGACCAGGAGCTCAGGGGCTTTCACTGACATCACCCTATGGCTTGCCAGGATGACAGGCACATCAATTTGTGGGCAGTGTAGCAGTGCTTGGTTTGCCAAGTCCACCACCACTCCCATCTTTGTCAGCGCAGAGATGGCTAAAATTCCCACCTTTCCCTTTATTTCCATTTTCCCAAATTTTTCAGACCCTTTGGCAGTCCCAATTTCAAAGGGTACAGGCCCTGTGAAGGGCACTGGGGATTTTTGGCCGTCCGGCCCTGTCAGTTCAATAATTTCAGAGGTTTGGAAGATCCCGGCATTGCCGGGGGCCATATTCAGAATTGAATAAGAGGCACCAGTATCAATTAACATCACTTGTCCAAGCACCCCTCCTCCAATAGTTGTATCAACTATCGGACGCCCCCACAAATCGGTCTTAATCGGTGCCACAAAAAGGGGCGACGCAGGTGCCTGGCAGCCCTATTGCTGAGCCTTAGACCCCGGGTCAATCAGGTGGGAGCTGCTGTGCTTTTTGGCCTCATGCAGGGCCAGTTTTTGGAAGAGCTCCGCATCCGGCAAGCCATCAATGTCCTCCTGTTTCTCATATTTTATCAAGCGCTTCCTCAGCTCGGCCCGCCAAGGGTTGGACTTCTGAAACCTCATCCCTTGCTGGTTCTCCTTCCCCAAGCCCCCTTTGCTGTCAAGATCTTTTCGGTTGTCTCCTTGCATTTTTCTCATCCCTGCATTTTGGAAAGGCATGGCCGAGGTTTTCCCTTTCTTCCCCCCCACCATGTACCCCGGGAATGCCTGCTTTTGCAGCTCAAAATTCTGGGTCAGGATCTGCTCCAGCTCTGACAGCGGCTTTTTGGCTGCGTCCCCACCAGCGATCACCCGCAGTGGGGGTGTCAGCCCCACCACCAGTGGCTCCTTGAATTCAGGCCTGTCAAAATCGAGGGGGGAGTCCTTTGATCCAGGCAGCCCAGCCATCTGGTAGAGCATCTTCTTACGGTTAACGTAGGCATCGGGCCGCTCCTCGGGGTTCTGCTTCTCCTGGTGGAAGAGTACTAAGGGGTTGACCTCTGGGAAGAACACCTTCAACACGGCCAGCTGGACGTCCCTGATATCCTGGACATTGCCCATCTGCACATCCCCTGGCAGTGCCGCGAAATCATCTGGTTTCATGCACTTTCTCACAATATCTATCAGGTCACTCACGAAGTTGCCACTCTGGCACTTGGGCAGACGCTGGACCCTGGACAGCCAGTTGATGGCTGTCTCCTTTGACAGTGGCCCCAGCATCTTCCCCACTGTCTTGAGCTGCTCAGGGGTAAACCAGAGCACAGCCCTATTGGTGTCTATTGGCTGGAGTGGGATGTGACTGACTGGCTCATCGTGGGGGGTCTTTTTGTCTTTGGAAGCCTCTGCCTCCCCTGCTTGCAGCTGGCACACCTCCTCCCGCAGAGGAGCATAAGGGGATGGCCTGGTGGGGCTGTTGGCACCCCACACATCATCCTCATAATCATAGTGGGGTGGGTGCGTGTCCAGGGAGTCCTCCCCCTCCCCATTCCCAGCCTGGCTCCTCTTGCCCTTGATGGCAGCCACAATGCCCCTCGACACCCCCAGCTCTGCTTCCAGCTCCTGGATCTTGGCATGGCATACCTTGTGATCAGGGCCAGTGCCCCGGTCCCGATGGACGTCCTGCAGGACCGCCCGCACCGCGCTCTGCGCGTCGTGGGTCTCCCCAATCCACCTGCCAACCTCCTTCTTCAGCTCCTCCGTTTTCAGCTTCTCATACCCCAGCTTGTTTTCCAGCCGGGTGATCTCTACTGCGCTCCGCAGAGAATCCCCACACAAACCCTGCACCTCTGCCCGGAGGTTGTCCACCTGAATTTTGAGTTCGGCCTTGTCCTGCTCCAAGGTCTGCACATTCTCAAGAGCCTCCTTCAGCAATCTAGACAACTCCCTGCCCACCATCAACAAACCCTGCAAAGCCGCTCGCTTCTTGCACTTGTTTGTGGGTTTGGGCTTTTTGTTCTCCTCCGACCAGCTCTCCCACTGCTGGCAGAGCTGCTGGTATGCCTCTGGGCCCTGGAAGGACCCCGGGGACCAAATTGCGGGGAGACACTTCTGGAGCACAAACTGCTCCAGCTTCCAGGTGCTAACGATGTCGGTCATCATGGTTGAAGGGCACGAGATCTGAGACGGCTCTGTCTCAGGGCAAAGCTACCATAACACCAGCGCCGCCGGCCCACCCTCGGAGCAAGGCTGCGACCCCGCGACCCGCCCCTCCGAAAAGCCCCCCGGGGAGACGCCGAACACGGGAGCGAGGGAAGGGGAAGGTGGGAAAGGTGGGAAAGGGTGGCTGCGGCCGAGCCGGCAGCTGCCGCGACCCAGCAGCTCCCGGGAAGGGGACGGGGAAGGGATGCGGGAGCGGGAGAAGCAAAGCAGAGACAGAGTAAGACCCCAGTAATAAGATCTCACCAATCCTTGGCTGAATGTCCTGGCAGTCCCGGGAAGCTGAAGAGGGTCGCTGCAGAATTCCAGCAGATTTGGCACCTTTAAGGTAAAGGTGGTTACGACGTCTCAGCCCGGTGATTTTTATAGCCATGGCAGGTCGTTGTTTTGGGATGATAACACCTATGTTTAGTTCCTCGGTGGCTTTTCCTCCTCCACGTGCTGCCTTCCCAAGGACACTTCCCTTGTCTTTCCTTATCCTCTTCAACACTGATTAGGAAACTGAAATCAAACAGCAGCACCTGCTCTGCCCCTTATCTATTTGGGGGGGTCCAGGATTAGTCACCACTCGCCCATGCTAACTTTTGCTTGCACCAAGTGTCCTGAAGAGGGAGAGCTGGAGCCTGTACTCTCAGCGTCCATTCTCCCAAATCCCCCCATGGCCCCCTCATTTGCTGCACACCCCGTTGGCAACTGGGATTTGGGGGGGAGATCACACATGGAGCTCAAACCTGACACCTCTAACACACACAGTCCCTCCAAACTACCCCCCAAGCACAGATCTGTTTACCAGGGGGGGTGAAATGGCAGGAAAATTTACACAGTTCATCATTTAGATCCATTTTGGCATCTGGTCTTTAAAAGCAGCATTTTTCCATGCTACATCCCAGTTCATCATACACTGACATGTACCTTAAGGGTAACCCCATGACATGTCAGGAGCCTCAGCTGTGATATTGCATCAGCTGAATTACAGCTGTAAATCTGCACCTGCAAAGGCCCCCCAGCCTCATCCTACAAACCACATCTTAGCTTGGAGCAGTTTAGAAAATTTGACCCACTTGTTTTGTTTTGAATTTTTTTTTTCCTGCTGTTACACTAAGAAAAAGGTTGGGGAGGGTCCTGTGCAGGGTCAGGAGTTGGACTCGGTGATCCTTGTAGGTCCCTTCCAACTCGACATATTCTGTGATTATGTAATACTGTGATCTGACTCAGTGAAAATGCTATCATTTTCATCACTGCTTTTACCCCTAATGAAATACTCCAGGAGCTACACCCTTCCCTGGAATAAAACCATTTCAAAAAATTTAAAATGGAAAAAAATGTTCACATGTGGCTGCTTGAATCCTAGGGAGTTTCTGTCCTGCACTTCATTATCCCCAGCAGGCCCTTATTTCTAGATACTGCCCAGCTGGACCATGTTGGACCAGACTTGGGGCTGAGCAACCTTCCCTGACCCCAAAAGTCAGCCCTTGCAGCCCCAGAAGCACATAGAGAATGCATTTTCCCCCTATTTTTCTTGCAGCTGTTTTCTCTGGCCTTAAATTTACAGCCCAGCTGCAGTTACCTCTGCTGTAACAAGGGAGTTTAACAGATGAAACCCCAGCCAGGTCCTGCTTCTTGACTGTAAACCCTGTTTTTCTATCCCAATGCTTTGCTCCAGCCCCGCAAAACAAACACTTTGCTGCAGGAAACTCATCACAGGGAGTAAAGAGAGAGTAAAAAATGTAACAAAGCTGGTGAAAGCACCAGGAGCGTGTGTCAGCCTGGTGAGGTGGGCAGGATGCAGGCTGGGGAAAAGAAGAGGGGCTCTTTCCCACTGGGATGGGTCCACAGGGAATTGGCTGGGCTGGGGACAGGGATGGTTGTTTTTAATGTCAAAAAAAGGATAGAATTCCCTAGAAATTGTGCAAAAGCACCAAAATTCAGCGATCCCCCCCACCTTGGCCCAGCCGTTAGCCAAACACTGGCTAACGGCTTGTACCCCCAGCAAGGTCACCAACAAATCTTGCTTGTGTGTACAGATCAGATCAACTTACACCCTTCTTTCCTCCCCTACTTTCTTGCCAGGACAGCAGCCCCAAACAATGTGGGGATGTTGTAAACAGCAGGTGTCTCCTGCACGTTCCCACAGCGCTTTGATTTTTGTTGGCGATGTGCTGCCAGACAAAAGCATCCCTCCTTCAAAATGTTTTCTTGTAAGAGTGATACCCAGTCCTGAGAAGAGTCAGTGAACATCTTCACTGCACATAAACAACAGCTTCAAAAAAAATTAAACTTAATCCCTGTTCCAGTACACACTCTATGCTTTTACACTGCACATATTCCTTTTTCTTCCCATAGGTAAAATTGCTGCAGGGAAGCATCTTTTACCATCTTTCCATAGGTAAAAGTACTGCAAGGAAGCTGCTATAATGTCTTGGGGAATCACCCCAGTGTAATATCCCCATGTTCAAGGTTGCAGTGGTGACAAAAGCCACCTCTTGGACAAACTCTTGTCGTGGCCAGGAAGCCTGAAGATGCTCCAGGTGAAAGTGAGAAAAGAGGGACACAGCCATTGCAACAGCCAGGGACATTGGGCTCATTTCACTGACTTCATCGCAGAGATGAAGGCAAAATTCACTTGCAGTGGCATTTCTTATATTAAGTACTCCCTGTCTTCCACCCCCTACAAAAAAAGAGGTGTATCACCCCATTCTGAGGAGGCCCCAATTTGGGAGTGATATGAAACAAAAGGGGACAGATGAGCAGGAGGTGAGGAAGGGAGAGGCAAGTGTTGCTGCATCCCATATCAGGGGCTCAGCTCTGAAAACAAGAGCTTAAAAGCACTGAAATAGGTTTAAAAATGCTAAAATTACTTTCTCCTGACAGGAAAGAGTTAAGGAACAATTCAGTCCACCCTAAATTTTAGCAGCTGAGCACTTTGTGGCAAGGCTTTTGCAGTTAGCAACCAGCTTCGAGCAGGAAATTAATTTAAACAGAAAAGGGGAGAGGATGTGTTACATCAGCATGGAAAAATATAGTACAAAATGGACCAACAACTAACAGTGTACAAGACACAATATAATTTCTTGTATTCTTCTGCCAGCTCAACCCTAGGGGAAATTTCTCAGTGCCCCCATGTGAGACTCCCCTTGCTGAGGAGATGCTGGGGTGTTGTAAGGACCACAAGTATCTGCACAAGAGGGACATAAAACTGAACCTCACTTGGCAGCAAAGAAGGCAGTAGATAAATAAAAATAATAAATAACTTACATTTTTTTTCCTGATCATGGAAATATTGAAGGCTACTGACACCAGCTCACCCCTTTAATTTCCCTTTTTGAATCCTAAACCCCAAACGCTTCAAACATCTTCCTCACAAGGACATTTCAAAGCCACTCTGATATTTTATCGTTTGAATGATAAAATGATGAAATTCTGCATATTTCAGAGCGCTGTCACAGCTACCAAAGCAGCACATGCCACGGGGTGGGGAGCCCCAGCAGAGTTTCCTTATTTTTGTGGTTTTTCAGCCACAAATTTGTTTGAGGTTTCTTGCTCTTGACTTCAAAGTTTTCTGTGATGCCTCACGTCTCTGCTTTATGGCGGGTTGGTCTGGTGTTCAGCATTTTCCAGAGAAAAACACCTCATGCTAAAAATTTTGCTGAAGAAAACAACCCTGTGGATCAACCTGCATCTTTTCCTTATTTTGAATGCTTTTTGATTTCAGCAGAGAGAAAAAACCAGCCAAAATTCATCCTTCCCTGCTTTTATCTTTAATGCCAAGCTCCTACATTAGTCACTTTTTAATCGCATGGAAGTAGATTAAACGAAGGAAGAATAACTGGGTGGTGAAATATGAAGAAATCATAATTAAAAATCAATGAGTTTTCTTTTTTTTTTTTTTTTTTAATATTCCTAGAGGGGATTTGAGGGTAACCTGTGCAGTGCTGGACGTGGGGTTCAGCGTGGAAGAAGCTGCCGTGCTGAGGCTCCAGGTGCTGCCTTGGCAGATGCTCTTTGGCAGCTGTTGGTGAGACATCTGTGCCGGGACGGGGAAGAACTTCCTGAGGTGAAGCCATCCCTTCCAGCAGGAGGTGACCGTGGGTGGAGAAGGGGACCTGGCACAAACCCCTCCGTCTGTGACTCCACCACCATGGCCCGGCCGTGGCTCCATCTCTGCATCTGCCTCCAGATCCCAGGTAAGAAGGACACGTCTCTTAAGAGTCGAGGGCACCTAAAATCGTGGTGGAGCCTCTCCTCCACCCTACTCCAGCACATGGGATGCGTTGCACAGCATCTGGATGATGGAAGTTTAAACATACAGGCATAGTATAGATCTACAGGATATTATTACCTATCGCCGCATAATTTTGGATCGTGTCATTAATAACATGCTTTGGCTTTTGGTCAGCCCTGAATTGGTCAGGCTGTACAGTTACAGATGGTAACTGTAGGTCCCTTCCAGCTGAAATAGTCTGTTCTATTCTATTCTATATTCTATTCAGAGCTCAATACATAATGGTATAGACGCCACAGAGTTTATTTTTACTGCACCCTTAGTGCAGATGGACTGTAGGAAGCTGCTGATGGAGAAGTTAAAGTAGCACCTGTCTATGCTGCCTGTGTAGCACGAAGGCAATAAACATCCCATAAAATTTGCTTCTAAATCATCCAAAGACTGAGTATTTCCCAAGGGCCACAGCTGGAATTGGTGCGTTATAAAACCGTGCCTTACAGGCGGTAATATCCTATAGATATGTACAGTGAGGAGCTCGTTGAGAAAGCCTCAATAAATGAGAGTTTGCTCTGCACACGTAAAGGGAATAGAGACCATTTTTAAGGTGCTGCAAGCTGGTCTGGCCAACCATGTGCAATCACCATGATTCCCTGTGGTCCCCCACCAGGAAAGGGAACAGGGAGGTTTTGGAGGGTGAAGGTATGACTGAGGATGGGCTTTTCTGCTCTGGCTTCATCCCAGCTCACCCCACTGGAGCTTGACCACTTGTCCACTGAGCTGAGATTTTCCAGCATACCTTCTCATCCTTTATCACTCATCTAACAGTCTCTCCAACAGCTCAAGGAGAAGCTTTTCGTGAAGAGTTAAGTTTCCCAGCCAGAAAGAGTTAAGTTGCCAGCCAGACCTCAGGGCAACCAAGGAGAGCCTGAAGCCCCCATGCCCCATGGCCACACACATTTCACCCCCTTAAAAACCACATGGGTTTGCCAGAGCAAAGTTTGTGAGAACTGCATTCTAAAACCTGAAAATTATGTATTTTAATGATAAGGAGACATTGATATTGTCACGGAGCCAGAGAATGTGGTGAAGTGCTGCAGCTGCCGTGCAACGCCTGAATTTCAGCACTGCCATATCAGGGCTCTGCAGTGATGGGGTCATCAGTGTGGGGACAGAGGAAGGCTCTGGACTTGTGTCAGTCACCAGAGCCCTCTCCTCTGCCTGTCCCATTGGGAATATGGGGGACATCAGGGCCTTGTGCCACAGTGATGGCTTCTGGTGTTTATGCATCATGCCAACCCATTCCTACACCACTGGGTTTGCAGGACTGCATGAGGATGCAACAGCTACTGTAAGCAGATTTGGGATTTTGAAGGAAAAGGGACATTTTAAGGTAAAAAAAAAAAGACAAGAAACATGTATTGTTGAGGTTTTTGCACAGCTTTAAAACATGCCTGGGAAACAGACGGGGGAAGCAAGACCGTCCTTATCTTCAGAGGGCTGTTTTTCACTTGGTCGCAGAGTATCTAGAGTTTTGAAGGACTGTTTGCTGAACAGAAAGGATCACAAGTTACCTGTTATCCTTCTCACAAGGACACATCCTCACTCACACACAGACACCGCTCACATCTGCCTGGGCCAAACACAACTTAGATAATTTCCAACAGAAGCTGCAAAGCCCAAACAGGGAGATGTGATACCAAACCAAAGCTTTGAACCCCACGGCTACCCCTCACTCCCTCTCCTTTCCCAACGTCTCAAAATTCCTGTAAAAATAACATTGTCTGAAACCTAATGTAAAATTGACGCATTTTGAGATGTTTTGCACATTTTTTGGTCTTTCTTCTGCACCTGAGATGTTTATTGGCATTGCATCTGTTAGAAGAAAAACCTGGAAAATAAGTTAAGAGGCTCAAAAAAAAAATAATTTATTCTTTATTAAAAAGAAGGGAGACAGAAGAGGGGCATCCACAGGAGCAGCTGGGGATGCCCTTCCCTGCACATACAGCCCCGAGGACACTCTCAAAACCATCCCTCCATCCCTTTCCCTGCCACTGAGCCTCCTCCTTAGATGATTGTTTGCAGGGCAAATTCTGTAACTAGGCTTGACCCAAAAAAAGCTGCTGAACCCCAAAAGGCCTCTGAGGAAATATGGGAGCATCCTGGTAAAGCTGCTCCTGTTTCTCCCTTGTGTGATCCCCTGATCTGTGACTACTTGATTTTATTAAGCCCATAAAGAAATTCTGTACTTAGCATGGAAGAAAAATAACTAAACCCTGAGATTAGGCCTGAGATTAGAGCATGGTGCTAATAACAGCCAGGTTGTGGGTTTGATCCCTATATGGGCCTTTCAGTTAAGAGCTGGACTAGATGATCCTTGTGGATCCCTTCCAACTCAGAACATTCTGCGATTCTGTGAAAAGAAAATAATAATTGTGTATATCTGTCTCTTTTTTCTTAGGCTTCTGTAGAAACTTACTCTTACCCCAAACTCCAGAGCATATTTTAGCCCAAACTAACAATAAAACAGAAATCCTCTGTGAGCTGAAGAAGGAACACACCGGGCTGTACTGGTACCGCTGGAGCCAGGAGAGGCAAATCTTTGAGTTCCTGGTGTTTTCCAACGCATTGGGCAAAACCACATATGGTGCAAACATCAGCCAAAACAAGTTTAGTGTCCATAGGGCGAGTGTCCACAACTCCTACAGCCTGCACATCAGCCACCTCCATGCCTTGGACAATGGCATCTATTACTGCTCCGTCTCCCAGTCCTCCCAACTCTTCCTGGGCAGTGGGACACAGCTCAGTGTGGGTAAGCATCACCCCCAGGGTTCCAAAGTATGCCACAAGCAGCCTGTGATGAGGTCCCTGGGTAAGGGGGGGATGAGGGTTGGAAGACTCTTCTCAATTTTGACGTGCAAGGTTGGGGCTCTGGGGTTTCTCTGAAGAGATCTATGAGACTGGATAGAGCAGAAAATACAGAAACGTTTTGGCCAGCTGCATGCGATAGTCCCTTTGCCATCAGCAGTTGCTCTGCTGTGGCCATGCCCTGAACACTACATCGGTCCTAGTGGTTTAGGATTTCCATGAGAAGACCCTCAGCCCCTGATATTGCCATGCCATGTGTATTTCTCATCCCCTGCTGCATTTCAGATGAGAGGCTGGATGTGTGCCCTGCTCAGCTCCCAAGTCCTTCCCTGCCATGGGTTCTTCCTTACCCTCCCTTCCAGTGACAACACTGAGGCCAGAGGACATCACTCCTCACATCTCTGGGGTGGGTCTGACAGCAGCTTTCAAGCCCATCCTTCACATAAAGAACTGAAATGGGATTCCTTCCTCAAAGCTCCCGACCCGCTATCTCTGGGGCGCTCCAACCAGAAATCAGAACTGTCTGCAGGTGGCAGCTGGGGAAGAAATGCTTTACAGACATCTGGGTCATACAGAAGCGCTTTTCAGACCATTTTCCCCTTGACCAGAGAGCAGGAGTTGATGTAGAAAAACTAATGTATTTGAAGTAGGATTTAGTCCCTTTTTTGCAGACTTTTAGGGAGACAAATAACTTATTTAACCAAAATGCAGCTATACTTCTGACCCTAAAGCAGCCCCAGTGTCCCAGTTTTTCTGGGTTGTTTTTTGCAAATATCCCCTGCACCTTGAGATGCCCAAGAAATCCCTTTTGGATTCTTGCCGGCTTCAAGAAAAGCTGGTTTAAGATAAAGGAGAACTGTTTTTTTATCAACTGGGCACATATCTCTGTGCAAAGCATGAAAAACAGGCTTGAAATTCAGCTTGATCAAGGACACTCCAATTAAAAACTGGAAAACAGCAGGTGTTCTGGGAGGATTCAGGCTTTGCTGGATGTTTTCCTCTTTTCCTTTTAGTACTCATGATAAAACAAATTGTCTTTAAGTTCCTTTTCTTTAAGTCTGTTATAGTGTAAAGGAGCAGTTGTGCAGATAAATCCCGGGCCCCTGATGTCTCATCTTTCCATGTAAAAGAACGGTAGTTTCCGTAGGAATTTCCATCCTTGATAGAAGCACAAAAAAATAGTTTTGAATCACCCAAAATTTTGAATAATTGTGGTTTGAGCAGTCAGGCATAAAGCTATTTAAATACATTACTGGGATATTTTCCTGACCAACTTTACTGAGAGATGAATGTGCTCCATTGTAATTCAGATACACCGTAATAAGTCCTGCCCTCATTTTATCAGGGAAAAAAATTCCCATTTTGAACAATGAACAAGATCAGAGCAATCTGAATAAGGAAAAGACCTAGATCCCTTAAAACCTCCCAGTACTACTGAAATCTCCCGCTTCCCATGATTTTGTGCAATGCTGGTGAGATGGTGCGTGGCAGTAAATGCAGCTCAAAGAAGTTGGATTTTTTTTCTCTACCTTAGCCTTCTGCCCTTCTTTTCCTAGTTTGTTGGGTTTTTAACACCTTTACAAGCTCTTTGTAACTTCGGTGGCCACCAAGAGGCTCAGGTCAAGCTCCCATCCCCTCTGGGTGACACGGCCCTTTGTGGGGGTCTCTGGAGGGAACTAGCTTTAAGGGCCAAAATTTCCAGCCCTTCTTGCCTCCTGTTTGGGATCTCTGCTGCACTCAGTGCCACACTGACCATCCTTTTCTTCTTCTTATCCCCCAGTTGATGTTTTGCCTCTGCCTTCAAAGACCACTCAGGCACCGGTCTCCAAAAAGCCCGTACGGTGCATAACCAAATGCAAAGCTGCCAGCAAGAAAGGTATGGCACGGGGTTGGCTCAGACTGCCTTGCAAGAGGGGTTTGCTGAGCTCCTGGGGGTCCCCATGGTCCAGCAGGAGTTTGTCCTGGGGTGGGGGCAACCACAATGCAGGGGTGGGTGTCAGGGTGCACCTGGACCCGCTGCTTTGGATGGAGCTGACCTCTGCCTTTAGGAGGGGTTTCCTGGGATATACACAGGTTTAGGGGCCAGGATGTATTTCAGTTTAGGTTATCATGAGCTCAGAGGTTAGTTCCCTGCAACGCCTTCTTTACTGTGAGGGTGATTGACCACTGGAACAGAGTGCCCAGAGGGGTTGTGGAGTCTCCCTCACTGGAAATATTCAGAAGCCCTCTGGACACAGTCCTGGGCCATGTGCTCTAGGATGACCCTGCTTGAGCAGGGAGGTTGGGCCAGTGACCCACTGTGGTGTCTTCCTGTGACTCTGTGATGCATCTTTCAAAGAATATCTCGTGTGCTCACATCTCTACCCCTCCTCTGAGGGCCTGCCTTGCTTTTTTCCCTTTCCCACCCCACACTCCATCCCCCAAAGCTGCCAGGGCAGGATGATGCCAGGTTCTGAGTCCCCTCCTACTCTCCAGGTCCCTGCAGCCCCCTGATCTGGATCCCTCTGGCCGCTGGTGCCCTGCTCCTCCTCCTGACCCTGATCTCCATCGCCCACCGTCTCTACCGTAAGCATCCTGCCAGCCCTGGGGGAAGATGAGGGGTGTCAGGCCCTGGGACAGCCCAGGAATGGGATGGGGAACTGGGAGGGGTGCTGGGACTGATGGGCACTGGCTCTCCTCAGGTCTGCGACGAAGGCTGTGGCTTCGCATCCACCGGCAGTAAATCGCAGCGGCTCCCCCTGCCTTGGACAGGCAGGGAGAAGCTACAGACCCTCCCCTGCACGATGCTGAGCACTGCCTGGACATGACCCAGAAAGAACATTACAGGGGACAGACATGGGCTTGTACCACAAAAGAGACACTTCTTTCCTGCAGCAGACCATGACTTTAACGTTTTCATCGGCACAACGTCTGGTGAAAGGACCTGTCTGGATTCTTCAGCATCCTGAGCACTTTTCACAGGGGACTGAGCAGGGCAAATGGCATAACTGGGTCTGCATAGGGGGACGGGGGCTGGTGTACCAAAGGGATTCAGATGGGCTGGGAAGGTACTGTGAGCTTTTGGGTTGCTCCCGCTAGTGCTGATTGATAAGACTTTGGTAACGAACTCTTTGAGAGCATCCGGCAGGGATGGGGCAGGGGCAGGGCCCTGCATAGATTGTAAAGACCCTGTGCAGGAATGTTCAATAGCAAAAGTGAATATATCACTCTGCCATTTTGCTCTGGTGACTTGTGGCCCTGCTTGGTGAGAGACACGGTTGTGCAGCAAGCAAGGAACCATGGCCTCTGCCCAAGAACAAGTTAAAGCAGCTCCAGGGGGTAGCAGATCTGGGAGGGTGTTTTCTCCCATGGGAGACTGCAAACAGCCAAGAGTGGGAGAGGAGAACCAGACAAAGCCATGCACACAAGGCCAAACACCTGGCACAGCCTGAAGGTCGACACTACCTGTGAGAGCAAACAGAGGCAGCCAGGGGCTGGCCCTGAGCCCAGGCACTGACCCTGAGCCCAGGCGCTGACCCTGAGCCCAGCAGCACAGCACAGCCATCAGGAACTGCCCCGAGTGATGTCTGTGTGTGCTGAGCCCCGAGCAATACCCATCTGTGTTGACCCCCAGCCCTGCTGAGCCCTGAGTCCATGTGTGCTGAGTCCTGAACAGCACCCGTGTGTGCTGAGCCCAAGCAATGCCCACATGTGCTGAGCCCTGAGTGATGCCAGAATCAGGGATGTTAGCAAGGCTCAGCTGCTGCCTAGGGCTCCAAGGCAGATGTGGGGCTGGAAATTTGGCATCTTTCTGAGCACAGGCAGTGGGCACTTGCTCTCAGCTGCACCCCCAGCCCCACATCTGCTCAAACACAGGCACCAGCACAAGGCTGTGTCAGCTACACAGTGAGGGCAAGGGGAAGGTGGTCCAGACACCTCCTGTCCCCAGTGTGGGTGGGAAGGCCAGCAGCTAATTTTAATGTTGGAGAAGCAGCAGGAATCTCCTGTCCTGCATGTTGCATGTGTCCTTACAGCTGCCCACAAGCCAAGGGCTGGTGTGACTCTAGAGTACCCAGGGCTGGGGCTGACACAGTCTTGGGACAAGCTTGTGGGTGTAAAGCATCACAGTGGAAGAGCAGCATCCCCTCCCACCCAGCCACCTGGAGCTGCCACTTTCCACTTTAATCATGATTTTGCTGGATAGCTTGGTCTCAAGCCTGGCTGTGGATGCTTGCCCCACATGATGCAGCAATAAAGCCAGCAGTGGACGATGCTGAGCCAGCTTTCCCAGGCTGTGACACTCACCCAAGCTCTCAGACCACCCAGATGATGGACACAGGGGACATCGGCCCCAGACCCCATCCCACCACAGATGCTGCAGGGAGGGGGCTCTGAGCATCTCTGATTCCAGTACATCAGAGTTTGTCCTCTGTGAGAGCTCAGATGAACTAAACCCATCATTTCCTACCCTGAAAGTAGTGCACAGAGCTTCGTCCCAGCAGCAGATGGTTTTTCTGATACGTATTTTTTACAAGAGAGCTGTAAGAAAACCCCTTTGAAACTTCCCACGGGCAAAGGTTTATTCTTTCAAAAACAGGGTTTTTCCCTCTGCCTGCAGCTGCTTTTGAAATCCCAGTTCTGTTTCCCACGCTTGAGGTGTCCTGACCCTTGTGTCTATACCTTCCTCAGCTCTCCCACCTCTCAGCCGGCACAGGAGATGGCCTCCTATGGCCGAGCAGGCAGGGCTGGGTCTGGGCAGCAAAAGGCAGGCTGCACACCTCAATCCTCCTCTCCCACAGGAAGGTGAGCAGCCTCAGGGGTAGCCCTGGCCAGTCCACTCCTCCTTCCACTATCTCCCTGATCAGGACATCCCCACAATGTCTGACCCTCGCTGGAACCCACCAAGACAGCACCATGCTGTCTTGATAGACTTCAGCCACTTATCCCTACTCCAGTAACACCTGCTCAAAGGATAGGGATTTACCCCTCAGCTCTCTGCCCATCCGAAGCAAAGAATTTGCTCCATGTCTGAATTCCCCAACTAGGCTTCATTAATCCTTTGTAATTTGGGAAAAAAAAAACAAAAACACAAAAAAAACCACAAACACAAAACAACAAAGCAAACACCCAGATGCCACATCATATCTGTGCAGCAAAAACAAGAGAGGACAGCAACAGCCAAGGATGATGCTGGGCCTGTTGAAACACAGGTTTGGGAGTTTACCAATAGAAATGATGAAAAAAATGCTGGTAATGTCTATAATAATCAATAGGGTGTTTTAGTCAGTGAACCTGGGAGAGGTTTTAGCTGCAGGTATCACAACTGCGAGAGCCAATGGAATAAAAACACCTCCCACTTCACAGACTTTTTCCCAGAGCATACATCAGCAAGAAACAAAAACAATAATAAAAAGATGCTTTTATGCCTGATAAAATTAGCTCAGTCCCCTGATATCTGCACCTTCCATGCTGAGAGTACATTGATGATGCCAGTCAAGGGTCAGGGATGCCACATTATGTTGTAGCATATGGGGCAAAGGGATGCTTCCATCGTGAAAACAAATGGGAAAGTAATTCTGTGCATCTCTGCCAATGGCATAATCCCTGGATCCATGGAGAGAGAGAAAGAGAGGTGATGGCAGTGCCTGTCATGGCATCGCTTCAGCCATGATGTCCTGGCAAATGAGGGTCCTCAGTTTATTCCTTGTTTCCTTCCAAGGATGGATCAGCCTTCTCCTGTCTCCCACTGTCACCCTCCTTCCTGCAGCAAGGAACATCCATACCTAGAAGGGAAAATAATGGAATTTTATATACAATGCCAAACCCTCACTTCAGCAGTAAATAAACTATGTCATCTGAAAGGACAAGAGGAGACACCACAAAATTTGGACAAAGAAGAAAGGTTTTTGCATAGGACAAGGAGGGTTTTGCAGATCTATGGGTTCAAGCATAAAACATTACCTGTGTTGTGCTCATGCCCACGAATTATTGGGCAAGAAATTGTAAAGGAGGTCAAAAATTACATGGTGCAATAGTCTGTTGTTATTATTGCTATTTCTTTTACATTGTATAGTGTATATATCACATCTGTTCTTAGAACACACTGCATATATGTTCTATATAGAATAAATAATATATAGAAAATATATAGAGAATACAGAAAATATATATATTCTATATTATAAAAAAAATCCAGTTACTCTCTCAATAAACAGTGCATATCTTGAGAGCATTAAAATATTCAAAGGACAAAGATACAGAGCAGAAATACAAGTATTTCAAGCATTGCAGTAAATAGTCTTCATGTTTTTGTCAAACTTCTATAAATGCATTTCTATAAAATTGCCAGTCTTTACAGAATATTTTAGTTGTTGATCTAACATTGGAAGTACTCATTTTTTTTTTTTATTCTTTTAAGCTGTCTGGTCATTTTTATGTGGATGGTCTGTGTCTTTATGATGCAAAAAAGTAAATAAAATCAGGTTCAATTGAAAACATTCAATTGAAAACAAGCTAGTGATAGGAGAGTGAAGTTACCTCTGACTTTAAAGCTCTTAACATATAAAAAAATTAATTTTGCAGAGTCATAAACACAGCTGAGTGAGGCACACTAAAGAAGAGGTTGAATAACATCTCTAACAAATGGTTAAACCTGAAATCCATGCGAAAGGAAAGGAGATACATTATCCATGGGCGCTGTTTAAATTCCTTCAGATTTATCCTTGGCCAAAACAGCTCCGTGCAGAGAAGCCACTTATTTAATACATCCTCCTGGCAGGAGAAATGGAGCCACAGCACGACTTTAAGCATCCAGATCAGATCAGTTAAATGGGAATTTCTAAATGTCTCTTTCTGTCACTGTATAAAATCAGATGTTTCCCAGAAATAAACCCCCAAAAAACCACTGGGGAAAAAAACTACTGTCAGGCAGCATAAGTACTTCTTGCTCCTGTTTTTCTGGACTTCATTGCATTTTATTCAATAAACTAAAAATAAAAATGTGTTAAGTTTCTGGTTTATAGAAACCAGAAATGTTTTCTTTAATATTATTCTAATATTAATATTTAATATTATTTCTGGTTATTAAATTATATATAATTTGCTGAAATAAATAATAAATACTTTTGTATATCAATACATCTATAGTATGTGCAGTCAGGGTGAGATCTGCAGCTTCTGTGGGATTACAAACAAATATTTGTTATTCCAGCATTTGTTTAACTGGAACACATATCAGACCAACTTAAAAATAAATTTACATAAAGTGTGTATTTTGCTTCTCTACTGCTTTGCTATGGGAAAGGTAAATTTGAGTTCATACACCAGTGGTTCTTTCTCATGAAACAAAACTCATCCCTGCTTTAAATGTTTGCAAGATGACAGGAGCCTTAATATTCCTCCCGTAGATGTTCATTTTCTTTCTGCTGAAGTTCGACTTCTCATTTAGCCTTTAAGATATACATGTGCATGAAGGGGGGCTGCATCACACTTTCAAAAGAGAGAATATCATTATTACTATTTGCACTTTCTGAGCTAGCTAATAAATTAAAACCAGATAAGAAACACTCCAAAAAAAAAGTCCCAGTGATGACATCAGCTCAGAAGTTTTTCTCTGCCAGGTACAACATATCTATGTGCTGTTGCAACAGAGATCTCACACAACAAACTTATTTAGTTCTTGTAGCGTAAAATCTCCAAACCCCGAAGATTAATCACCCAGCTTGCAGTCAGCATGAAGAGGAAACCTGTTCAGATGGCAAAGCCCTCTCCATCTCTCCCAGAAGCTCCTTGGAGGGCTGGGAGCCCTCAGGCATCCCAGCTGACACAGGCACTTATGAGTTTGTCTCCTTGGTTTTTTTTTGGCTCAGACAATGAGAAACAGCTAAATTTTGTCTTGCCCTGGACTGAGCTTCTGCATCAGGCAGGGAAAAAAAAGGGCCTGCAGAAATCTTGAGTGTGTGCAGGAGAAGTTTTGCAGCACTGACTTTTTCAAGGGCTTGAGCTTTGCCAGGAAACACTAAAGAATTCTGGATTTCCCTGTGTAGAGCGTGGGGAGCAATGGACACTTCCAAAGAAAAGTGAGGACAAGAGGAAACAGCCTGAAGTTGTCCCAGGAGAAGTTTAGTTTGGATATTAGGAAACATTTCTTCAGCAAAAGTGTTGTCAGGCACTGGAACAAGCT